GACCCTTAATGGGGAAGGTGCCTCTGCCCGGCTGGTTGATGTCCTCGTAAGGACAAAAGCTGACATCACCGCCATCCAAGAAATGCGTTGGACGGGGCAAGGCAAACAATGTCTGGGGCCTTGCGACGTCTACTACAGCTGCCATGTAAAGGAGCGCAAATTCGGTGTTGGATTTGTGGTGGGAGAGAGACTCCGTCGCCGAGTACTGTCGTTCACCCCGGTGGACGAGCGTCTAGCCACAATCCGCATCAAAGCGAGATTCTTCAACATCTCGCTCATCTGCGCCCATGCCCCGACAGAAGAGAAGGATGAGGCATCCAAGGATTTCTTCTATGAGAGCTTGGAGAGCACGTACGAGCGCTGCCCCCTTCATGATATCAAAATCGTGTTTGGCGACTTCAATGCCAGGGTGGGCAAAATTCAGCCTCCACGACGAAACGTCCGACAACGGATTGAGGCTGATCGACTTCGCCGGGGCCCGAAACATGGTAGTATGCAGTACTAGGTTCAAGCATAAAAAGATCCATCAAGCTACCTGGCTGTCTCCGGATCGAAAAACGAGAAACCAAATCGATCATGTTGTGATAGACGGAAGGCACGCTTCCAGTGTTTTAGACGTACGCACACTCCGAGGCCCAAACATCGACTCGGACCACTATCTTGTTGCAGCCAAGATACGCACCCGCCTATGTGCAGCAAAAAATGTGCGCCCAAATATGCAAGGAAAGCTTAACGTCGAAAAGCTGCAATCACAACAGACAGCCAGCGCTTTCGCTACTCGACTCTCACACCTGCTCTCAGAGAGCACCCTTCAACAACCCGACATATGCGAGCAGTGGAACCACATTTCTCGCTCATTAAGTTCCGCCGTCGAGNTGTCAGGAAGCTGCAGAGAAAAGAGATGCCGCCTATAGGGCCACGCTGCGATCGTTCGCAACGCGCGCTATGTGGGACCGCTATAGGGATCTGAAGAGGGAAGCGAGACGTATTTGCCGCAACAAGAAGAGAGAGGCCGAAATACGTGAGTGTGAAGAGCTTGAAATGCTGGCCGACAGGAAGAATGCCCGAAAATTTTACAAAAGAGTTAAGCGACTTACGGAAGGTTTTAAGACCAGGGCGTACTCCTGTAAGAACAACAGTGGCGACCTAGTAACCGATGTTCAGAGCGTACTTAAATTATGGAGGGAACACTTCTCAGCCCTACTGAATGGTAGCAGCACGGAAAGTTGTGGAGAAGAAGAACCCGAGCCCGCAGTCGATGATGACGGAGTCGACGTTCCACCGCCTGACTATGACGACATACCTAGCAATAACGCTGCTGAGAACCAACAAAGCTGCTGGAGCTGATAGCCTACCAGCTGAGCTATTCAAGTACGGCGGCGAGGAGTTGATAAGGTGCATGCATCAACTCTTGTGCAGGATATGGTCAGATGAACGCATGCCCGACGACTGGAATTTAAGTGTGCTCTGCCCAATCCACAAGAAAGGTGACCCCGCCATTCGCGCCAACTACCGCGGGATCAGCCTTCTAAGCATAGGTTACAAGGTCTTATCGAGCGTATTGTGTGAAAGACTGAAGCCCATCGTCAATGAACTGATGGGGGCTTATCAGTGTGGCTTTAGACCTAGGCCCTTACTCTGTAATTCGGTACGCAAAGCAATGCGATTCGAAAATCAAATGCGATGCGATGGGAAGTTCGCACTCCCATAACGACCAGGGAACGGATTTTATGGAAATTGCCTTTTTTTCTGCTAAAGAGATAGAGTATATTCGATTAAGAATGTCCACGATTTAGCTTTCCCTGATTCCATATATACACATTTGATGTTGCCTTTTTTTGCCTTTTTTAAGATATTTGCCTTTTTTAAGATATTTGCCTTTTTTGCCTTTTCTACCTTCAAAAAAGTGATTATAGCATTTAAAATTTTTTTTAAGATTAAAAAATGTACACATTGCCCATGCGGCTTATAGAAGCGCAGAGACCTCTTGCCAAATTGGCGTTGGAAAAATTCAAAGCCGTTTTCTCAGCTAACGAAGGCTTGGAGACAATAAGGGGTGTGGATAAAATTATAAAGGGCGAGGAAAACGCACTTATTTTTGATAATATGAACGTTTCAGACGTTCCTTATTTAAATTGGGCTCCACTTGTATCAGTTTACGTCGAGCACACATTTAGTATATTCAAGGCTTTTCTTCGCGAAAATCGAATGAAAATGCTGCCAGAAAACTTCAAAATGCATCTTGTGGTTCAATGTTACTACAACTATACAGATTAAAGTTTTATGAGTTAGAAACCCGAAAGGATAAAATAGTCAAAGATTCAAAGTACAAATTTTTCATATAATGAAACTAGTTCATAGCTTTTCTCTTTTTACTTGTAATATAAACATTTCTAAAATAAATGTATTTTTTGATTGTTCTTCGTATTTTCTGTCTTTTTAGTGCATTATTTTGCAATACCTAGTGCCTTTTCNTGTCTTTTTTTTAGTGCCTTATTTTCCTTTTTTTGCAATACGTAGTGCCTTTTCCTGCCTTTTTCGCTATTTTGTTTTGCCTTTTTTGCAATACTTAGTGCCTTTTCCTGCATTTTTCGCTATTTTATTTTGCCTTTTCCAGCCTATTTCGTTATTTTATTTTGCCTTTTTTATAGGTTTTTAGGTCCTAAAAATCCGTTCCCTGATGACCCTCAGCGATAAAAGGTAAGTTCAAATGTTAGCGTTTGCAAATTACTCTGCATACAAATTTTCATTTTGTATCCTTAGTTTTGTTCAAAATTTTCGGCTCAGTAAAGAACAGACAACAGCATGAGTTTACTCATTTCCATCTAAATAGTATGAACTCAGTGCTGTGAACTGTATAAGGGTAGTGAGAAACACCGTACAAACAGTGAGTTTCATAGTTAGTTTTGAAATCAATGTTCAGCTGCAGTGTACTCATTTGATTTCAAATATTGCATTGATATACTCTTTCCAAATCAAGTCAAGCGNGCTGTTTTCAGGTCTTCTTAAACAACCTACCTTTGTGAGCAGAACTGATAAAGCTACTGCAGAGCTGCGGCGATATGAAAATATTGAGGTATATTTTCATACGGACTTCGATATAATTAATTGGTGGGAGGTACACAAATGCGAAATACCGCTGCTGCATAAACTCAGTCCTAGGGTAATAGCCACTCCTGCTGGAAATNAAAGCTGATGCCAGATAAAACTTTGTAGCTTTGCGTGACATTTATAACTTTGCCAGCGAAGCGTCAGACGCAAAAGTTATGCCATAATGAACGCAAAGAAAACAATTTTGTACTGCTTTTTTACTCGTCAAAATTGCTGTGGATTTTATATATTTGCTTTAAAAATATCAGCAATGTAATTAAGTTTTATGTTTCTACATGAAAACTCGAATTTGGACGAAACAAAATAAATATTAAACCGGTTGATTGTCAAAGCGCGCAAAAAGATAGGAGTTGGTCATCTTTTCGCTTCGCGCTGCAGCTTCAACTATCTATGTGGCGTGCTTTGTGCATTCATTCATACATACAATTCATCTTATCTGTCAAAGCGAATCACGTCACGTAAGTTTTATGTGGCATCAGCTTAAGAGACTTGAAAAATAAGTTGCTTTATTATTTAAAAACAGTTGCTGTTGAAAACTTAACAGATTTGCACAAAATTGCGCTTTTTTATACCCGCCAGCAAAAGAGCTCAAGAACTTTACCGAATCTGAGCAAAGGCACACAAAAGAGAAATGTTTACAAATTATGAGAACGTTAACTGAGAATTCTGACAGTACAACGGAACCACAAATTGCGGATATACCTTTGTTACCTTCAGACAACTTTGCGCTGTTTTCAGGTCTTCTTAAACAACATACCTTTGTGAGCAGAACTGATAAAGCTACTGCAGAGCTGCGGCGATATGAAAATATTGAGGTATATTTTCATACGGACTTCGATATAATTAATTGGTGGGAGGTACACAAATGCGAAATACCGCTGCTGCATAAACTCAGTCCTAGGGTAATAGCCACTCCTGCTGGAAATGATGCCACCTTTTGTCAAATGATGATGCCCTTAATCAGTTGATATTTTTGCATTATAATATGCAGTTAGAAAACCAATAAAATTAACAAAAATTGTCTTTACAAATTGTTTTTCTTTGATACTTTCATTAGAAGAATCGAGCACTTGATAGTGTGAATTACTCACTCAATTGACAATGTTTTTTCAATGCTATCGCACGTTATGTTTGGAAATAAATGAGTACGAGTGTGTGCAGATGTGAAAAGAAAGCGAATGACTTAAAATGTAATTTGAGTGTATCCATGCAGCTCTCTGGTAAAGAAGCATTTATGTACGTGTTGCATAGCATAAGAAGTGAACTAAAAGTTTTCCAAAGATCTACCGCAGTCACTGAAATAGTGAAACTTTCGACCACTTTAAAATTTCTTGCTCAGGGCGGTTATCAACACTCCATTGGACAAGATCGACATGCCGGGCTGGCACAACAAACCGTATCAACATGCATTTTAGAAGTATGCAACGCGATTGGAAAAGTTTTGTGTTCGAAACATATAAGGGGTATTCTCGAAGTCTTGCACGATGCACGGATTGCATGATATGCAAAAATACTATTCCAAATTTCGAAGAGTACGAGAGCACCCCATAGCAAAGTGATAGCATGCATGGGTAGCAAGCAGCGAAATTATGTAGCAAATACAATAACAAGAGACAGCAAAAAAAAGAAGTGAGCGAGATGAGAGGAATGAGAGAAATATTTAGCGATTCCAACAACAAAACAACTAGCACAGGGTCGCACTTATCTTGCTATGCTATTTTGCAAAATATATATATGGGTTTCGACGTTGCATATTTTGCAGCGATAGGAAATGTTGTTTCCCATGTATTTTGTTGTTGTGTGTTTGCAAGTTATGCAATTCATGCAATCCGTGCTACGTGCAATGGCTTTGCAAGATTTGGAGAATACCCCTAATGTGTTTCATATGAACAACCAAGAGAAAGTTGATGCCAACAGGAGCTTCTACCAAATGTGTGGAATCCCAGGAGTTATTGGAGTGGTGGATGGGACGCACATCCAAATAATAAGGCCGACAAGGAACGAACATTTATTTTTTAACCGCAAATTAAAGCACAGCATAAATGCAATGGTGGTAAGAGGATGATCTATTAAATTTGCTATGTATGTAAGAGTGGTTCATAAAAACACTCTTTTTGGAAATTCATAAACGCTACATCAGAATATTGTTATTTGTGATAAAAAAAGAGACGTTTTTTTTTATTTTGAATAAAAAAGTTTTCTTAGAGGTTGCACTGGTCGGTTTTTTGTAAAAACGCTGATGTAAATTTTTTATTTTCTTGGCATGTTAAAATGCAGCTAAAAATGTGGTTTCTACATATAATTACTCTGGCATTATTGGGGAACTTTCCCTTAATTACACACCTGTCTTGGACAATTAGAATGGGTCTAGTTCCCGAAAATATGCTCTCGAAAAGACACTAGTAAAATTAAAACGTTGATACTGAACGATTTACGCATTGTCATGGGTTGGAACTTGTTACCAGGGGGTTTCTGGGGTTGCTAATTAGGGATCTGAAGTCAGTTTTTCGAAATTCAAAATGGTGGATCCAAAACGGCGACCAACTTAAAAAAAATGATTGGATTTGTTTGAAACTCTTAAGCGCCATTTTGAATTTTAAAAACTGACATCAGATTCGTAATCAGTAACCCCAGAAACCCACTGGAAACGTGTTTTAACCTTTGACAATGTTTAAAACCTTCAGTATCAACGTTTTAATTTTAGTACTTTTTTTTAATTTGATCGCCATATTGGATCCGCCATTTTGAAGTTGAAAAAATTGACTTCAGATTCGTAATCGGCGACCACAAAAACTGTCGAGTGCCGGGTTTCGAACAAATCCAATCATTAAAAAAAATGGGCCGCCATTTTGGATCCGCCATTTTGAATTTCGAAAAACTGACTTCAGATCCCTAATTAGCAACCCCAGAAACCCCCTGGTAACAAGTTCCAACCCATGACAATGCGTAAATCGTTCAGTATCAACGTTTTAATTTTACTAGTCTCTTTTCGACAGCATATTTTCGGGCACTAGGCCCATTCCAACTGCCCAAGACAGGTATGTAATTAAGGGAATGTTCCCCAATAATACCAGAGTAATTATATGTAAAAAACAAAATTTTAGCTGCATTTTAACATGTCAAGAAAATAAAAAAAATTGAGAACATCAGCGTTTTTATAAAAAACCGACCGGCGCGACCTCTAAGAAAACTTTTTTTTTCAAAATAAAAAAACACGTTTCTCTTTTTTTATCACAAATAACAATAATTTGAGGTAGCGTTTATGAATTTCCAAAAAAAATTTTTTTGAACCACTCTAGTATGTATGTATCTTTATATTTTAGGTATGTGATCACCGAATGCGTATTAGGGCTGTCAACGGAAGATTTGGAGGTGCGTCACATGATTCCCATGTGTGGAACTTGTCAAGCGAGCGGGATTATTTAAAATCAAATTATGAGAATGGCGATAAAGGTGTGCGAATCCTTGGTAGGTTCCTTTTATATGCGCTACATCCATTCACGAAATCTTTTATTGACAATTGCTCTTCCACACTACCATTGGTGACTCTGGATATCCGCTGGAACCATGGCTACTAACTCCGTATAGAAATACTGCGGAAAATTCTGACGAGCTGTTTTTTAATCAAAGTTAATCGAAAGGAAGATCAATAGTAGAACGAGTATTTGGCGTGTTAAAAGGCCGATTTAGATGCCTTTGAGCTGCACGGGAGCTTCATTATGCTCCAGAAAAAGTTGTTAAAATACTGAACGAAGCAACCTACAGATATTAGAACTGAGCCAGACGAAACTGTAACCGTTAATGCTGATAATACAGAAGAAATAAATTTTCTCAACATTGCTAGAAGATTAAGAGAAGAAATAAAAAGCAATTTGGTAGCTACTCGAAATTCCATATAATAAGTAAACATGATTTTGCAATAAATAATTTATTAAATTAAGAGAACTTCAGTCTTTCGTTACATAGGAGCACAACACATGGATTATTAAGGTTTCTTATATTTTTATAAAATAATTAAAATAAAAAGCACCTAAATACAGTCAAAACAAAGAAATAAACTTCTGTGTTTACAATAAAAATTATGACTAGTTCATCACATCATGCTTGACTAGCCTTGATATTTATGATATGAATTTATGTATATTTACAATGTAAATAGGGAAGAGACATTTTAGCAAGTTTTGGCTATAGCTTACTATCTAAAAAAAACATGTTGAAATCTAATTAAAAAGCTCAACATTTTGACGAAGCTTTGATTTAGATGGTTTTTGTTAGAAAACGAGTTACGCTTTCCCAAAAAAATAAACATTAAATAAACGAAAGGGAAATAGCCGAAGAATGCTAAAATTTCTCTTCCCTATTTATATTGTCGGCCGCTGGGGTGTAGTGGTAACCAGTGCGCGCTTTCACTCATCTGCACCTGGGTTCAAGCCCTGGTCAAAGCAACATCACAAAAAAATATAGAAAAAGGTTTTTTCTTAACAGCGGTCGTCCCTCGGCAGACAATGGCAAACCGAGGGTATTTCTGCCATGAAAAACAGCTTCTCATAAAAATACAATCGCCGTTCGGGGTCGGCGTAAAACTGTAGGTCCCTCCGCTTTGTGTGACTACATCAAGGCGCACGCCACAAGTCGGAGGAGAAGCTCGGCCAAACACTAGCATATGTGTAAGCGCCAATCTATTATTATTATTATTTATATTTTCGCCACTGTATATCCATATTAGAGATGGGCACGTGAGTAATTTTGGCTCACGTTACCGCTTGGCCAAACGCCTAGCAATGGCTGAAGGCACTATTATCTATTATTTTAACAAATTTCAGATTTACATACCTATGTATCTATTACGAGTATAAAAAAGAATTGGTATTAATATTTATTCAACGTATGTAATATTAAAATGACATTAGGTCATATTTTTGTTTAAAAATAAAATTTTGTCGAGGTTTTCACCAAGCAGTCGTGTACATCTTTCTTCCAGAATTCTGCCTGACACAGAAAAAACTCTTTCACTAATAGCTGAGCTAGCTGGTATGTTTAAAAATTTGCCTGGAAAGACTTCTAAGAAGGGGCAAATCTTTAGCTTTCTCCCAAAATTTTAAAACATCGTCACAACTTTTGTTTTCCGATTTTTTTTCAAATAAATCTGTATTTCCGTATTAATTTCTTCAAAAACTGTTTCTGCAGATTCGTTTGCGCATCTTTGAATTCGTCAAAAGTTGCACGGGTTTTTGCCCTTTTCGAGGTAGAAGGAACATCATCATCCAGAATTCGGTAATCGTGCTGAGGGCGAGCGCTCTTTTCTTCAAGTGCATGTCTACCTAAGTTATCTTCAAGCATTGCTTTTACTGTCCCTATTATATGTTCGCGCTGTTCTGCAGATATAAACTGTAACTTTTTAAACAGAGGATTTAAAAACCATCCATGGTTGGAATCTTTTATTTAAAGCAACAGCTGTGTTTTTCTTCAAATCGATGATGACTTCAGAATCAGGTGCATTCACTTTACACTGCTTTTGTAGTATTTTGTACCACAGAACATACTCATGGATGGCGCTCTAATTTTCAGAACACATCTTGAAAGGGGCCAGAAATTCTAACAATTTTTCCAACAAATTTGCATTTATTTTAGATAGTTTATGAAGCTAATTTCTTTCTATTAATAATTGTTGAACTTCTTGTCGCCTTTCGTGAATGCTTGACAGCATTATAAATAACGAGTTCCACCGTGTCTTAACATGTTGCTTTAAAGACTTTGATAGTTTCTTATTGAGTTCGGTATATTTAAAATAGCCTACAAGCTTTTTTGAAGCGTCTATCAATTCACTTAACTTAATATTACAGAATGCCTCCAATGTCAAAGTGAAAGTTAAACAGTAAGTTTACGAATTTATTTTAGATTAAAATACAAATAAGTACATACATGCATATGTGAAAATGACGTGATTGACGAAAATCTAACTCACGCACGCGAAAATTTCAGGCACGCACGATCACGGATATTACGTGATTTTTCACTGAAAGCCGCTCACGCTCACGCGTGAAAAGGCGTGACACGACGTGTCACGTAGAAAAGCACGACTTTTGCCCATCTCTAATCCATATCATCTTTTATGAATGAGGCTATTTGTTTCTATTTCTAAATTTAACATTTCTTTTTGCAGTTATAACTTACTTAATCTTAATTTTAAATTTTCACGGTAAATTTTTTGTTTGTGGAGAAATTTTTCTCTTGCAGTTTTAAGTTTCTGTTTTTCTATTTTCCTTCCTTTTTTCATATTTTTTAAAATGTTATTTAATATTACTTTAATGTCGTTTTCGATGCTCTTTGTGCTGCACCAAACTCTAATGTGCCTACCGTACCACTCATTGATTCCCACAAAGATAATAGTTCACTGACTTTCTGTTCCAGTTGCGTAAGTGAGCAGTAATTGGATGGACCACCACCAGTTCCGGAAATGCTGTGTTTATTGCGACGCATTTTTGCTTTCAAATGCGTCTTGTAATCAGCCCAAAACTAAAATTTTAGGTTATTGTATATTGCCAAAAACAACTAAAGTTACTACTTACTTTCTTCCAACCAGCAACTTCACGCATCGGTGTGCCAGATGCATTTAGGTCGCAAGCCAATTTCTTCCAAAGGTTTATGGAAACGGTTTTAGCATCCGGCGTCTTCAATAAACCCTTAGACAAATCCGGGTGGATTTCCATGAAATCCACTAAAATTTCAAACTGCTTTTGATCCGTCTCTTTACCTTTAGTAGTTTCCCTATATATTTTTTTTAAATGTATGTAAATATATGCAATTTCAGTTTGTATATTTCATTTAACTTAGATTTCTATTTGTTGCGTATGCCTTTGAAATGTAGCAAGAAAAATGCGAATGTCACAGCCATTTGACAGCTATATTCGAAAAACAGAGTGCTGCGAAGGCGAAGGGGAAAAATGTGATGCGAAAGGGATAAATGAAAGGCGTAGTTCGAAAATTTCTGCGCAAATGTCGTATTACAGGGTACCTTTTATGCGAATGCGAAGCAAATTTCATTCGAATCGCATTACAGAGTAAGGGCCCTGGAAAATCCACCATACACCAGGTATTCACAATACGCCAAATCTTGGAAAAGACCCGCGAGAAAAGGATCGACACTCACCACCTAGTTGCCGCCTTTAAAGCCGCTTTTGACAGCACTAAAAGGAGTTGCCTATACGCCGCTATGTCTGAATTTGGCATCCCCTCAAAACTCATTCGGCTGTGTAAAATGACGTTGAGCAATACCACCAGCTCCGTCAGAATTGGGAAAGACCGCTCCGAGCCGTTCGCAACCAAACGGGGTTTCAGACAGTGCGACTCCCTTTCATGCGACTTCTTTAATCTGATGTTGGAGAAGATAATAAGAGCTGCAGAACTGAACCGCTCAGGAACAATTTACTACAAGAGCGTGCAATTGCTGGCTTATGCCGATGACATCGACATCATCGGTAACAAAAACCGCGAAGTCTGTTCTGCCTTTTCCAAGTTGGATAGGGAAGCAAAGCGCATGGGTCTGGTGGTAAACGAGGACAAGACGAAGTATCTCCTGTCATCAAACAAACAGTCAGCACATTCGCGCCTTGGCACCCACGTCACTGTTGACAGTTACAATTTCGAGAAAGTAGAGAATTTCGTTTACTTGGGAACCAGCATTAACACCGATAATAATGCCAGTATGGAAATTCAACGAGGAATC